TGCCACATCCAGGCAGGCTTTGCTCCTGCCACTTAACAAAGTCTCAGGTCCAAGCCTCACCGGCCTAGCCTGGGTCTCTGGGCCCATTGTCATTCTGGGAGCATGGCTGCAGTGTGCCAGGTGGTGGGAATGGGCCTATCTGAGAAACTACGCGTCTCCCCAAGGGGCACAGGACGCTATTCTCCACGGTCCACAAGACCCACCTCCCTGCACTGAGTGGAACTCGGAGCAGGAGGGACGTCCCCAGGATGGCACTGCAGTGTTTATTACCTCAGAGCCCAGAGGACCTTCTCTGCCTGCAGCCAGCTGCATGTTCACCCCAGCCAGGCTTCCCTCCCACCCAGGTCGGCCAGAGCAGCCAGCGTTTTTGCTTAGACTCTCAGCATTCAAGAGGCCTCCAGTTGTAGTGTACTTCATTGCTTTCTGTTTTTTAAAGTAAGGGAAATTACACACAGCCTAAAATTTATCATTCTTCTTCTTCTTTTTTTTTTGTAATATACCATTTTTATTCTCCTTTTTTCTGTACACATATATACATATAATTAATTAATTTTAATTATTATGTATACATTTAATCCTATACATCACTTAGATTGCAAAGAGACTTTATCCAGCATGAATTAAAATTTGCCATTCTATTCTTTTTAAAGAATTATTTTATTTTATTTATTCATTCATATTTTTTTTAATTTGACCAGAGGGAGACAGAGAGAGATAGAGAAAGTGAGAAAGCAAACCACCAGGACTTGAACCGTGGTCAGCCATGTGGGAGTATCCAGCACCTTAGCCACCACGCCACCTGCTGGTCCCAAAATTTGCCATTCTATTTTACACCGTACACCGCATGGGATGAAGCCTATGCTGTGTCGTACACCACCAACTCAGTCTAGCTCCAGAACTTCTTTATTGATCTTTTTTTGCTAGGGGTGTGTGTGCCCTTGCCGGAGAGAGACAGAGAGAGGAAGAGAGAGAAAGAACCCCCCATGAGGAAGGGTCATGCCACAGCCCCTTCTACTTTCAGGATTCTGAGCATGCGCACACGTGTGCCAGCCGTGTTTTTTGAGCCGCCAGTCGGAGACTTGAATCGTGCACTCAGGGATGTGGGATCCAGAGCCTTCACCACCACCCCACCGACTGGCCCTAGTTCCAGAACTTGTCATCACCCCAAAGAAAACCCCATCCTGGTCAGCGGTTACTCCCTGGCACCCAGCCTCTAGCTGTTCCGGTCATGGATCATCCCTTCCAGTTATTTAATATGAACGGAAACCGTTTTTTAAGAAATTGCTGAGCACAGTTCCGTCGTGTGGACTGCTTATCCCTTTATCTGTTCATGAACATTGGGGCTGCTTCTCGTTTTGTTTTTATGAATAAAGTTGCTATGAACAATTGCATACAAGCCTTTTTGTGTCTCCTTGGTAAATACTTAGGAATGGGATGCTGGAACCATCCCGCAATGGTGAGTGTCTGTTTAACTTGATAGGAAACTGCCAATTCGTTTTCCAGGGTGGTCGTACCGTTTTACATTCCCATCGACAGTGTACGGAGTTCAGTTTCACAGCTTCATCCATACTTGTTACTGTCGTTGCTTTTTTTTTTTTTTTTTTAACATTTTATATCTTTTAAAAGAATTATTTATTTAACTTTTTTTATTCATTCATTTAGTTTTTTATTTGACCAGAGAGAAACACACACAGAGGGAGAAAGAGAGAGAGAAAGCAAGCCACCAGGTCCAGGACTTGAACTGTGGTGGGCCATGTGGGAGTGTCCAGTGCCTTAGCCTCCACACCACCCGCTGGTCCCCCCTCATTGCTTTTAGTTTGCAATTCTTTGAGGAGTAACAATCTGAACATTGCTGATTAGCCATTATATCGTATTATAGTTTCTCTTTCAAAATATTTGACAAAATCTTTTGCCCGCTTTAGAGAAATTATTTTATCGAACTTATTTACTTGTTATAATTTGATCAGAGCGGAACAGAGTGAGAGAGAAGGAAAGCGAGAAAGCAAGCCACCAGGTCTGGGACTAGAACACGGTCAGTCATGTCAGAGTCCAGTGCCCTTAACCATCATGCCACCTGTTGGCCTCTCTTTTGCACATTTTTAAATTGAGTTGTTTATCTTATTACTGGGTTGTAAGAGCTCATTACATGCATCTGGAATGCAGAGTCTTTGTTAGACATATGAATTGCAAATTGTTTCTTTTTTCTTTTTTTAGAGGTTTTTTGCCTTAGGGTGCATGGGCTTGCCAGAGAGACAGAGGGACAGATACAGTGAGAGGGAAAGTGAGAAATCACCCCCAGGGGAGATGGCCACACCATAATCCTTTTTCCTCCATTCTCCTCCAGGGATCTAGGGCACGCATGCCCAGAGTGATATTCAAGTCACTGGGTTTGGAACTTGAACCGTGCTCAGTTATGTAGGAGTCCAGCGATGTAACTTCTATGCCACCTGCTGGCCCCACAAACTGTTTTTTCTTAATCTCTGGCTTACCTTTTAATTTTTTTTGGGTAAAGAATGATTTATTTAATTTCAGTTATCATTATTCTTTTTTATAATTATTTTATTTAACTTTATTTATTCATTTACTTATTTTAATTTGACCAGAGAAGAACAGAGCCAGAGAGAGAGGGAGAGAAAGAGAAAGTGAGAAGGCAAGCCACCAGGTCCGGGACCCGAACCATGGTCGGCCATATGGGAGTCCAGCGCCCTTAACCATCATGCCATCTGCCGGCCCACCTTTTAATTTTACTAATGCTATCTTTGTTTTTTTTAAAGAATTACTTAATTTAATATTATTTATTATTATTATTTTAATTTGACCAAAGAGAGACAGAAAGAGTGAGAGAAGGTGAGAAAGCAAGCCACAAGGTCTAGGACTTGAATCACGGTTTGCCATGTGGGAATCCGGCATCCTACCATCACGACACCTGCCAGCCCTTATTATTATTGTTTTTTAATTTGATGAGGCGGGGGGGGGGGTGCGGAGGGAGAAATCAAGCTGCCAGGCCCAGGACTCGATCCACGGTGGACTATGTGAGAGTCCAGCACCTTAACCATAACACTACCTGCTGGTCCTTTTAATGCTATCTTTCAAAGAGGACAGATTTTAAATCTTTTTGAAATGTACTTTTTCCCCCCTTAATTTTTGCTTTTGAAGTTCACTTTTTAATTTGTCTTTTTATGGCTCATGCTCTTTGCAGTCTAAGAATTCTTTGCCTAACTTCAGGTGACAAAGATTTTCTTCTAGAAGTTGTATTTAGTTATTTATAGAGACAAGGCCTTGCTATTATGTTGTCCAGGTTGGCCTGAAATTCATGCTCCTGGCTCAGGCTTCTGAGTAGCTGGGACTGAATACATGTGGCACCCCACTTGGCTTTCTTCTAGAAGTTTAATAGCTTTGCTGTAGTGTTTAGGTCTATAATCCACTCTAAGCTAATTTTTATGTATGGCATGAGGTAAAGACCAAGGTATATTTTTCTCTTTATGGATATCCAGTTGTTCCAGCCTAGCTGATGAAAATCTAACATGGGTGGTTTCCTCCCACTCTCCCTTTTTCCCCATTACTTAAGTGCAAAGCTTTGGAGACATTCTTGACTCTTTTCCTCCTCTGGGTGTTCCCCCCACCCCCTTATTCACCACATCTAAACCATCATCAGCAAATCTCACAGATCTTGTAAAAGTGGATCCAGAATTTAAGCACTTCTGTCCACCTCCACTGCCTCACTGTGCTCTAAGCCACCACCACTGCAAGCCCTGACCAGAGCAGTAGTAGTCCCTTCCCTGGTTCCCTAGTCTCTACCCTAGACCCCTCTGACCCATAGTAGCCAGGCACCGTGTTAAATCTAAACGGATCCCACCCTTTCTCTTCTCAAAGTCCCCCCTGCTCCCCATCCTCAGGATAAAAATCTTTCTCAGGGTGCACATGGCCCTATGTGACCTGCCTTTGCAAAAAAATGTCTCTGGAATCTCATTTCCTATTACCCTCCACTTACCCAGCTCCTCTCTGTTCTTCAAACACACCAAGGATGGTCCCATCTCAGGGCCGTTTCACGTGCTGCTCCCCCTGCCTGGGACAATGTCTCCCCAGATATCTGGGACCAGCAGATGGCATAATGGTTATGTTGCTGGACTCCCATGTACCCAACTGTGGTTTGAGTCCTGGACCGAGTGGCTTAAAACTTATGCCAGGCATGTGTGCATGCGTGCCCCAAATCCCAAAAGGAGAGTGAAGGAGAAGGGATTGTGGCATGGTCATCTGCCCTGGGGGTGATTTCTCGCTTTCTGTCTCTTTCTCTGCTGTGCAAACATGCCTTATGGAGTCCCAGACCTGGTGGCTTGCTTTCTCACTTTCCCTCTCTTCCTCTGTTTTCTGTCTCACGCATCCAACTGGAAAATAATACTTAATAAAGTTAAATAAAAAATAATTCTTGGGAACCAGCAGTTAGCGTAATGGCTATGTCGCTGGACTCCCACGTAGTTGACCGCGGTTCATGTCCCGGACCCGGTGGCTTAAAACTCACGCCGGGCGCGTGTGCGTGCGTGCCCAAGATCCCGAGAGGAGAATGGAGGAGAAGGGATTGCGGCGTGACCATCCCCCCTGGGGGGTGATTTCTTGCTTTCTGTCTCTCTGTCTCTTTCTGTCTGTCTGGCGAGCGCACGCGCCCGACAGTGAAAATCTTCTCAACTGGCTGGCGAGCGCACGCGCCCTACAGTGAAAATCTTCTCAAAAAAAAAAAATTCTTAAAATAATCTCTAAAAAAAAAGGTATCTGGTACGTGTCTTCATTCCTCCTTTCTTGTCTCTGCTGTCAGAGGCCTTCCCTGGGCCCTTGTCTAAAAGCTGCACCCTGGCCCTGTCCTTCTGTCCCATGGGCTCGGCTAGTAGTCTTCTGAGCACGAATCACTTCTAGAACTCATTTCTTGGCTGTTTTTGTCCAGGTCAGGAGCAGTGCCTAGAATAGCGCTTGGCACACAGTGGGGCCTAGGGAGCTGCTGCAGTGTGAGGGGGCGATCCTGGTCTGTCCAGTCGCTCTCACCCTCGGGCCATGACTGGACAGTGACTGGGATGTGGTGGGGAGAGGCGGCAGGAACAGGAAGTAAAGAGGGCTGGGAGGTGGAACTGCGTTATTTTGGGCAGGGCAGAACCGAGAGCCCCTCCGCTGTGCCATGCACTTGCATACTAGGCGAGAAAGGCAAGCCGGTCCTAAGGTCAGTGACTCACGGTTTAGTGGACTGGAACCCAACTCCGTGCAACTCTAGAACTTTCTCTTTATTTGGGGCAAGGGGCCGGATGGCCAGACTTCGTGGACTTACGCAACAGCTCGGCACTGGTTTTTTCAGGATGCTTGCAATGTCCTGTCCTGTATTCACCTTTTTCCAGTAAGCCCCAACATTTGGGCAGTCAATATAGGTCACATGTCTAATAATAATAACTGGCTGTTAATTAGCTAAACCTGGCAACCCTAGCCAGGGAGAGCTTGGACTTTAAGCTAGAACTACAGAGAATAGCCCGCCCAGAACCTCAGTGCCTTTATTCCGGAGAATTCGCGGCTCGTTCTTACCACAAGAACCACAAGGATCCCGAGCTCGGCTCCTCTATTCTGGTACAGGGCCCCTGGGACTCGTGAACTAGCCGCGGTCCCTTTAAGAATGTTTTCGGGTGGGAGGGGGAGGCGGGCTCACGGGGGCGGGGCCAATCCGGGGGCGTGCTGCGTCGAATCTGGCCAATCCGGGGGCGGCCAGGACACGGGGGCGGGCCAAGCG